GGAGGCTGAGGTAGGAGAATGGCGTGAACTTGGGAGGCAGAGCTCGCAGTGAACCGAGATCACGCCACTGCACTTCAGCCTGGGTGACAGAGCAAGACTCCATCTCAATTAAAAAAAAAAAAATTATCCTCTTAGAAAAAGAAATACTGTTACTAGGAAAATTTTTTACCTCTAAGGTTTTATGTCAATAAACCTTAAACCTATCTAAAAATCTCCGTTTTATGGCTGATACCCAGTTTTTTGTGCCAGATAAGATTTAGAAAACTAAATCTCATAGATTTGATATGCCATATTACTTTGCCTTACAGAGAAGAATGGTTGATGGATAGGTTTGTTGGGGACTAGGGATGTTAGAGATGCCTTGTGATGAACCCCTTGAGAAACAAATAAACCCTAAATGAAAGAACAGAAACTGCCATACCCAGCAGCCTTCTGAGTAGGTCATTCAGCACAAGTTCACTATTTACAAGAACACCACATTAAGTTACCTTGTTGATCAATTGGTTTCTTCCCTATACATCCTCAGCTGCTCACTGTGCTTACAGCATTCTGCTATCACCTTTGGGAAAAAAAAATGCTTTAAGAGTATTTATGCTTTTGAAGCACTTCCTACTAGTTCATGTATGTACATTGTTTCCTTTGATTTCCCCCCCACCCCCAAACACCAATATGTTATGAGAGAGACAGTGAAGGTATTATTATCCCAATAAGGTGACTTAACCAGAGTCCCAGGGCCAGCAAGTTGCTAAACCAAGGCTGGAATTGAGGTCTTCTTTTTCTGAGTTTAATGCTTTTCTACAGTAAGAGAGAAAGAATGTGAGGAATATTTATATCTAAAATAAAGCTAGGTATTTATCAAAAAGCTTACTCTAGCTATGGAAAATATTGATACCCCAGTTTGCTAAGGGAGTTAATACCAATTTTAAAACCTTCCTCTTGGCTAAGAGTGCAATTATAGTGCCCTTCAACAGATAAATTTTATCAGACACTTACTGTATGCCAGACACACTGCTATGGGCTTTACTCACATTATCACACTGAAACTCTGAGAGAAGCTCTGAGCAATAGAGTAATTTTCCCAAGGTGAATATCTAATAAGTGGTGGAGCAGGGATGCACACAATTCTGTCATACTAGAACCCACATATACTCTTGAGGTGTTTTTTCCACTGTCTTTCTCCATAGTCTTTTTCTATTTTCCTAACTTACTAGAGAGGAAAAGGGGCAGGAGGGCCAGAGGTATTGTCAGCCACACACAGGAAAGGAAGCAAGCCTTCATGCATTCATCAGCTCGCTTAATGATCCTTGGCTGCACTAGTGCTAGCTTGGCTCTGGGAATGCCCAGCGTGGACCTTGGGGGAGATATTCACAAATGGCAAGTGCTAGTTCAGAGACATGAGCAAAGTGACACTGGAGCATAAACAGGCGAAGCTAAGGATGCCTAGGGAGAGAGAATCCGGAAAAACCTCTAAGCTGTGTCTAAAAGAATCTTTCCAGGAAAAGATAAAAGAAAGAGCACCTGCAACAGAACAAAAAAGCTATGCAAACAGGCTATGGGAAGTATGCCTATGTCTAGGTAAGTGTGAGGTTGGTGTTGGAGAATGACAGGATTAAGTTGCAGGAGGTAGAATCATGCTCTAAAGAGCTATGTCAAAATAAGTTTGGACTATATTCTAAAGGCAACAAGAGCCAGCAGACACTTTGAACAGCAATGCTAAATTAGCTTTCATTATTTAGGAATATAATTGGCAGTCTTATGTTGGATGAGCAGGACACTTAGTCAAAATGAGAACTAAGAATTGGACTTGGGTGGAAAGACAGCATTTTCCTATTTTATTTCAGTCACTAATAAATGTCACAGTAATCTAGCAGTTGCTCTAACAAAACTATGTGACCAAGACATGTAAATGACACAGCCATGTTGCTGCTCTCACAGAGAGTGAACATACATCCTGTTTCTTAAAAAGCCTTCATTTATTTATTCATTCAACAAATATGTGTTAAGCTCCCACTACGTGGCAGGTACTATGCAAGGTTTCGGAGCACTGTGTTAAGCACTGGTTGTCTAAAAATTCATTCGAAGCAACAAGTAGCACCATTTGTTCATAAGGTCAATGAAAGCAAAACAAAAAAATGACAGAAAATAAAGCAAGTGTCAGAGAAAGCAAGAAAAGAGAGAGTAATTCCTAAGAGATAAAAAGTGAAAATGAGGTTTAAGTTTAAGAAAGCAAGCATCTGCTTTAAGTAACCATTTCATTAAAAGTGCACTAAATTGTGGAGGTTCTCTCTCAGGAATTTAGTATAATGGGCTCCCACATGAATTCCTCTCATTACTTCTCTTGAAAGATCAGTCAATCTACTGAAAGGGTAATTTAGGTTTAGTGTTCACAGTCCCATTCATTTTAACTTTTAATCTTTCCTGTTTAGGATGTTAAAAATATGATGCAGATATAATCTAAAAGAGAAGAATTGGGCCCGAAATGAGATGATTTTAACTCCTCAAATGGTCTTGATATGGATAGATATGCCACAGGCTGTAGACTTTTTGCTTCTGATAGATGGTGGTGGAGCTTGGCCAGTTTCTAGAGCACTGCACACTATTAATTGCAAGAACCAAGTAAAGGACAACATAGAAAAGATCATCTGTATCTCGCTCTCCTGAATTCCTTGGACATTTATGTGATTTTAATGACATCTCTTCCTTATTCCATTAAACATTTTTTCACTGTGATTCCATGGAAAGAAAGACGTTTGAGAAATTATGTCCAGGATATAAATAAATAAATTATTTGAGAAGACAAAAGTCTGGAAAATGAGACTATCAGTTATTAATTACAGGAATGTGATTTTATGACATTTTTCAAAAATGTGAGCCTGAAAAATCACTTATAATCAGTACTTTTCTGCTGTTAAACTGCCACCAGTATGATTTGTGATATTAAAAAAACAAGCAAGCAAATAAAAAAAAAATGCAACCAAACAACATCAACAACAAAATGCACTATCTTTCCGACAGTGCTATTTCTAGGAAAAAAAAAAAAATCAAATCCTCCCTGATTTTCTGAGGCCTCACCTTAGATTTACCTTTAGACATATTCTGGGCCCATAGTGTTCACAGCAATTCCTGATTAATTGTGTACCCCATTAAAAGACCTAAAAAATCCAGAGAGAAAGAAGCTAAAGTGGGCCCATCTTACCCACAGTGGCAAATATTAAAAAGCTTATTACTACAGTATTAAATTATATTGATTTGAAACTAAATTGTGGTTTATTAACATTTAGAGTTTGCTTTTATTTCCCAATTAAAAAAAAATCAAAGGTTTTAAAGTTGCTTTTCCTGATTTGAGAGAAGTAAGCACTTAGTCTAGTGAAGAAGAGAAAATGAATTCAGTTAGGATTTAAAAGTAACAATTTATCCCAAAGAAATTAGCAGTGTAGGACATTTACTGGACAAATATCACATTCCTTGAAATAATTCTTATGTCATTTTAATGCATTCTCGCTATGAAGCATTTCCTTGTAAATGTCTAAACCAGACCATGTCTTAACAATTATTTCATAAGAGAAAACTTCAGTACCCTCAGAAGTTCAGATTATAAGACTAAGGAAGGCAAAAAGCAAAACAAAACAGAAATTAAATAGCAGAAAGAAATGATCTAAAACATAGTATATAGTGTAGTGATTCACTGAAATAAGTATTTATGATTTGAGTGATAAAAAGTTTACAATGACTTTGCACCCTTTCTATGAATGCTAAGAAGAAAAGAAAATTCAAAAGATATCTGGAAATTTGTCTAGTTTTTATGATTTTCATAAAACCCATTGGTCTATCTCAAAATAAAGGCAAACAATTGAATTCTTAAATAATTATCAGGATACTGCCTACTGAGAACAAACATCACTTTTTAAAGGTCTGTAATCTGGGATGCCTCTATACGATTTTCATTACATAGTATTTCATGTGCTCAATTACTGTTAGAGAAAATTTTTGAGATCTTTGATGATGTCATTTCAAGCAGCATGCATCTTATCTTATTCCAATCGTCATTAGATTGCAAAATGGAAACTGAAGGGAATTTTGGAGTTTGGCTATGTCATTATCTGAAAAATAAAAACCTCCTGATTTATTGTAAATATCAACCAGATCTTTATATGATCACGATAAAGGAAATCTTTCTTTCCAATAGAGTAAATTAAAGACAACATTAAGTAATGGAAGGTTTGTACCGGCCATTTTAAAGTATAGGAACATCACCTATCCCATGAACTAAAACACCTCAATGATATCCTCCCCAGTACTCATTGATCTCCCTAACTGCAGGTTTTTCTTCAACTATGTTCTAATCGTCTTGCCCCCAACAAGAATCAGGTAATTGGAGCTTCCTTTGTGTTCTGTAACTGCGCTGATTAACAAAGATTCAGGCTGACCGTGCTCCCTGATGGTAGTGGTTATGGGAGGAATACGTCTTTGTTAAGTAAAGACTCATGGCTTTGGGACCAGCAGTCTTTCAACTGAGCACTGACTCATTCTGTTGCCTACAGTGTTCTTAGGAAAAGAGCCATTCAATAAAGTCACATGAGATAATATTTTGATGGCTATCTTTTCATAATTCATTTCCCACAAGTTGCTGTTTGTTTCAATACGATTTTCTTGCCACAAAATACACCCGTCTCTGAATAGCAAAGCAACATTTCTGCTCAGTGATTATTTCTCCTATACTTTTAAAGATATGAGTTTGTGCATACGTAAATATTTTTAAATATCTTAGCTGCTAAATCATTATATGCAATATTAAATGTTCAACCCCTTTTTAGCGATTGTTAAAAACAAAACTTCTATGTGTTCCTTAAAAAAGGGCATGCTTGATTTCTGAATTGTTGTTAGATAAACTGTAAGGCCAAAAATGGGTCCTTTTACTGAATATGCAAAGTTCCCCCTTAAACCACCTTGAACTAGGCAGATTTGCAACATTTTAAACTGGCACTTCATCCCTCTTTCAGCAAGCATCCTCTGCAGATTTAATGATCAGGAACATCCTTCTGATGCATGCTGGGAGATATGGCTGCAGGGTACAGACCACAGCAGACAGTGTGTCAGATGAGGCAGAACTTCTTGTTAGGGGTGAGTATGCTAATAGTGCAGTCTGAAGACATGATCACCATAAATTATCATACAAAGGAATTTAAATGCATGGACTTTGAGCACATCAGTACTGTGCATTTTACTTTCAATTTTACAATATATGTTATTTTTGCTTAACCTTTTGCCTTTGAAAACATTACATGGAAAACTGCTCCTTAGTAACAGACGAAAACCACCGAACTAACTTCAGAGTCCAAGACACCTTTAGTAGTAAGTTGTCACTAAGTGTTTAACTAACCTAATGCCAAGGAGATAATCTAAACAGTTGAGCTACTAAGTCACTTGGACTACAGAGATAAAATTTGTTTGTGTGTATATATGTTTTTCAAATGAAAAGCTAGTGGAAGCCCTAGGCATTTTTTTTCTTCCACTACTTCTAAGTTGGACTTCCAAAAACAGAAAAACTGCATGTATAAGATGGTGACATTTGCAATGGTTAAGTGACAAGGATTTTTTTTAAGTCTGAAAATGTCAACATACAACCTTCTGTGCAGAAATGACAGTTAAATGGTTTCCAATTATCAAACAGGACACCAAACTCTGCAATCCTAGGAAGCTACATCGTAAGCAAATGACTAGAGCACCCCTTTCCTTTAGCACAGTATTCCACAGTATGGGAAATAAAGATCATAGCATGCATTTCCTTCCTTCTTTCCTTCTTTCTTCCCTCCCTCTTTCTTTCCTTTCCTCCTTCCTTCGTTCCTTTTCTTTTAGCTTTTTTTGAAGTACAATATTTCCACATTTTCACCAATCATAAGCATACAAATGTATAACTTAATGAACAATGACAAAGTAAACACACCATATAACTATCATTCAATGTAAAAACTAGAACATTACCAGAATCCCACCAGGTGCCTCTTCATTTTTCATCTTATACAATTATATCTTGAGTAGTATGAGTATCGCATGCTTAGATCCCTTGTATGGTCTGTACAGATAAAAACATTATCTCTATAGCAAGAAATTACATTTTAGATTAACTGGTATTTTATTCATCTGAACTCTTTTACAATTTAAATATTAAAAATCTTAAACCATAAACATAAGGCACAGAGTGAACTTTGTCATCTCTATGTTTTAGCTATATATATCACCAAATGTATATGGATTTTGGTAGTGCATTCATCATTGGTTCAAGTAAAATGTTTTTAAAGAAGTGTGTTATCTGGGTGATTGGTAGTTTGTTCATGTTTTGTGTGTTTCTGTTCAGAAGGCTACTTGATCTTTTCTTCAAAATGTATACCTAGAATGTATATCTGTGTTACCTTATTATAAAACACCAACTTTTTAAAAGTATTCATCCTTTCAATACATTCTATTCCATTTAGCTAAAAAGTTCTCTTTGTGCCTTCTGAAGTTGCAAGGCTCACGGAACTGCAAACCCTACACTCAGTCAAATTCATAGAAAATTGCTTTCTCCTCTTGTTATGATCTGTTTTAGATTATGCATATTTACTGTGTGCACTTGCCTAGTAATTTAGAATGAGGCTCTTCAAATTGGAGCTTTCCAAATGAATATCACAATTTAGAGACTGATAAGAAACCAGGTATTTTTACTGGACTATAGGGGGCAAATTTAAGTGGCAAACTAACAATCTACTTTGTAAGTAAAATTAAACTCAACAGGGTTTAGAATATAATTCAAGTTCAGCTTTCATGTTCTGCTCTTTTAGCCTTTGGCTTTATGCCTAGGAAATGACAAAATGCATAAATTTTGGGATTATACCCAATAGCAATTTCAAACAGGTTCCTTTTGTCTGAATATTCATGTAACATTCAGCTTAAGCTTTCACTTGAAGTGAGTTTGATCACGTCACCACTTTTCCATTATATATTTGCATTACTTTTCTAAAATTAGTAAAAATATCTTGCCATTTCTTCCTGGTGAGTCTTAGACAGATTTAAACACTGAACTAAGAGTTCTGGTTCTCTTTTAAAAAAATTGTGTACGTTTACAGCTCCTGGTAATTCAACAAGCTTTGATTTTTGAATATTGCTGTTTTTAATGTTGGCTTGTGAAATAAAATTCAAAATAGTTTTACTCTGCCAGTCTCCCTTCTCACACTCCTCCATTTGTTGGTCTGTAAACTCATGGTATTCTAATAGTATATGCCACAGGACCAAAGCTGAGCATTCTAGTTGGAGCTTTTCTGATGATGGCTACAATTCTGGCAGCAGAATACTTAAAGCACAATTATTCAAATATGTGTCACAGAAAGATGGGGATAGTAAAAACAATTTCCCCATTCATCTTTTAGTAGAATACTAAAAGTAGATTGGCTGAGCAGTTCACTTTGCTCAATGTCTTCATCACAAGGAACATGCTTGGGTAGCAAGGATTATGTTCTTATTATTCTATTTCAGTGGGAATTTAAGGGAAAAAAAAATATATTCTCTTTGATGGATGGGAGCAACTTTTTTGTTGTCATCCTTCCCATGAGAGATAGTCTATAAAATTCTCTTGTACATTTTACCAACTCCTGCAATTCTTCAACCTTGCCCCACATGAACACTAAATTGGAACACAGGTGTGTAGCCACATGGCCTTATCATTGCCTGTTGAGAATCTGAGTGTTTCTGAATAGTAATGTTTCCTTATACTCTCCCCATTCACTACTTTATGGACTATTTTTTCCTCAACTGCTTGTTTGCACTTTTGCCTCATTTTGCTTGTGAGCGTCAGTGCTATTTTTCACCTCTATTCCACCATGATCACCTTTCTCCAAAGGTTGCTTTTTTCATAAATAGTTAGCTGAAGTATAAAGTCACTTGCTCTCCCAAATTTAATATTCAGTGAACCAGCATTATCACAGCACCATGCATAATCTGGAAAACCATAACAGAATGATTATGTTCGAAAAAATTATTTTGCTGAAATATAAAAGGAAATTAAAGCCACACCTGAACATCTGTGCACCATTTTAGTCACTTAAGTGTGCTATAACAATAGAGAAAGCAAGACTAAACACTGCTATAGGGAACCTTTTTAAAGATGAGTAGAACTCGATCATGCTATTAGTGAAAGGGAGGTAGATATGTAAGAGAGAATCTCACTGAGGAGGATATACAAGTTGTTAAGAACCAATATTCTGAGACAGTATCAGAAGTGATCAAACACAAAGTAAAAGACTCTGGAGAAAGGAATTTTTTTCTTGTTATTTTATTTTTCAGAAATTAATGTTAGAAATATGTTTTCCAAAGTAATTATAAGGGTAGAAAACTGTTTAAAGAATAAGATGTGCTTAGCTAAGCTAGGGTAACTAGGAATGACAGCACGATCTTTCTATTCTGCCCGGAGGCAAAAGAAGTGATAAAAATTCACTTTCTCATACAACTTCTCTATTTGTTTTACTCTGCTTCTTAATGCAAAACAGTAGGTCAAGGAACTCTGGGAATAGTCAAAGAATAATCAATAATCTCTTGAGTCCTTTTGAATACATAGCCTTTCCTCAAACTTGAATAATTTTCATTTCCTGAATTACAATTTACAAGATGAATCCAAAGTGTCTTTGTTAATAGTTGAATTTGAAACGAATGAATTAACCTCAGGATGTCACTTGTTGGGAGACATCTAACTGCTTTTAACCATCCACCTTGAACCCCACCCTATCACTTCTTATTCCTAACAGATTTCAACCTGGCTTTCAATTGAACTTTCTTCATCTGCCCCATCAATTCAGTCCCATTTATTATTTCCAATAATTATTTATTTCCTTGAATATCTAACTTTACTCTCTCCCAACTCAGCCACTTTTCACTGCAAAACTAAAATCATTAAAATTTTGACCGTGTTGTCAATAAAATAAGTCTACTGGTATTTGCTTATAATTTGCTATTCCTTTGTTCACCCACCTATTCATTCAACACCTGCTCTGTGTCAGGCACTGAAGTCGGCACTCAGAGTGGAGAGGTGAGGAAGCTGAGGTCTCAGCCCTCAGCCGGCTCTACATCCACTAGTCCTCCAGTGTGAGGCACCTTTGGAATTAGGGTGAGATGTACCACGGAAGTTCACCTGGGTACATTTTCAGTCTCACAGAGGAAATAGTGAGAGATTAGGATAAAACATAAGCAGAGCTGTGAGGCTGGATATGTAATCTATGAAGAACAATGCCAAATGGAAACACAGGACCCCTTGTTGAAAATTATTAATAATTTCAACACAGTGACAGAAAGGCATTAATCTAAGCATTGGGCCCCAAACTTGGAAGTTTGCAGATCTTGAACTGCACAGCTCACACACCCAGGAAGCTAGCCCTAACAAATTATGTTATTCATCTACAGAAATAAAAGCATGTTAGCAAACAGACGGGGCAAATCACAACAAAGTAAAGTTTTTTCATCTATAAAATTAGATATAAGAGCCTACATCAGCAGTTTATTAGCTTTTTACACACACACACACACACACACACACATCTTTATTTTACTGCATGAGTCATATTTTTAAAGATTTTGTTGATTGTGTTGATGTAATCACTAATTTATGTTTCTATTTTTAATTCCAGCCAAAGCCTTCTATCATCATAAGATAGACAATGCTACCAAACTATATAATTTAATTCCAGCCAACATCAAAGCTAACTTACCTTTTAGCTAGTTGTAAAGTATGATTGGTTTGTTTGTTTCAAATGGTTGAAAGTAACCTGAAGAAACCAGTTTTTACCTGGATAGAAACTAATTTAGGCACCTTTGATAAAGTATCTCTAAATTCTGTCTAAGCGCAAATCTTTAGTGATTCTCACTAGCAAGAGAGTTTGAGAGTTTTCCGCCTATGCCCTTGGAAAAGATGCAAGTACTGTCACTGTCCCAAATGCAATGGGAAAATAAAGCTCAGTGAAAACCTTGAGCATGTTTCTAATATATTGTTAGTTTATTTGAGAGTTGAAGCAGTATTAATGTGCTCTATCTTCACATTTCTCACTGCACTACCCTTGTGATCCATGTAGATTCTAAATTGATGTAAATGTCTATTTTTA